TTTCTGAAGGACTGGTTTGTGTGGCTCCATGCAGAGAAACATCTAAGATTTGTTAATCTAGATTTCTGTTTGTATCATTTTTTATTGTGATAAGATTACTTGCAGTTAGAGTTCTTGCTTTTATACCTGGACCATTAGATTTATGTCTTCATAATAATTTGTGATAACAATGGTCTCTAACAAATTAAGCTAACCTTGAAATATATAAGGGCTTCACATTTTATTTTATTTTTTAAGATTTTATTTTATTTTAACTTTATTTTGAGAGAGAGAGAGCAGGGGAAGGGCAGAGAGAGAGAATCCCAAGCAGGTTCTGCAGTGTCAGCACAGAACCTGATGTGGGGCTCAAACCCACGAACCATGGGATCATGACCTGAGCTGAAGTCAGACCCTTAACTGCTTGAGCCACCCAGCTGCCCCTAAAATTTCTTTATATATTCTGTATATAACATTTGCTACATTTCTATAGTATGTTTGTTTTTCTTAGGCTGACATGCATCATCATCATCTTCCAGAAAGGCAGGAAGTTTATATATTACACACTGTCTTCATGGAGATTCCTGTAGTGCTTCAGGACAGCCTCCTCTGTGTCTGATTTTGGCCCATGATTCATGACTAAACCACATGAAATTGACTACCTTTCATAAGGTGGCCCTTTCTAAAGGTATCGTGTCTGTCTTACATGTTCATTTCCACACAACCTGAAAATGTCAATGACAGAAATGATCAAGACATGATGATGGATATGTGAGCAACTATGGGGTGTTTGATCTCTGGCTTGTTTACTTCTTTTCTTCACTATCGTTTTTTCCCCCATGTGATCTTTTTCTAACAAAGGGCTTTGTATCCCAGAGTCTTTCTGAGAACTTTAAAAATAAGAGGGACCTGCCATCACTTATTATCTCTGGTAATTGTAGTGCCATTTGAACTCCCCTGAATGTTTTTTCCCATCACTACTTCATGTATTTGCCAGCAGTTCATGTCCAGGGAATAGTTGTCTATTCATCTTTCTATTAATGTAGTTTTTTTCTTTTTTTTCCATTAGGAATGAAACTGTAGGTGTTGAAATCTTCCTAAAGAAATTTAACAGTTGAGGCGCCTGGGTGGCTCAGTCGGTTAAGTGTCCGACTTCGGCTCGGGTCATGATCTCACTGTTCGTGAGTTAGAGCCCCGCATCGGGCTCTGTGCTGACAGCTCGGAGCCTGGAGCCTGCTTCACATTCTGTGTCTCCCTCTCTCTCTGCCCCTTCCCTGCTCATGCTCTGTCTCTCTCTGTCTCAAAAATAAATAAACATTGGGGCGCCTGGGTGGCGCAATCGGTTAAGCGTCCGACTTCAGCCAGGTCACGATCTCGCAGTCCGTGAGTTCGAGCCCCGCATCAGGCTCTGGGCTGATGGCTCAGAGCCTGGAGCCTGTTTCCGATTCTGTGTCTCCCTCTCTCTCTGCTCCTCCCCCGTTCATGCTCTGTCTCTCTCTGTCCCAAAAATAAATAAACGTTGAAAAAAAAAATTTTTTTTTAAAA